GGGGCGCGCGGGCGGGACCTGACAGGAGGCGCCCCAGGAAGGAGCAGTGGCTCTAGTGGCAGTGGTCACACAAGCCGTTTTATTCCAGACTCGTAGGCTGCTAGCTTGTTTCAATACTGTCCATGTATACCTCATGTGCTATTTGCACCTCATCACTAAGGCCGTGGTGATGGTGAACCATCTGACAATCTCCTATTATTGTTTTGCACTACTGTCACTGACTGTACACGGTTTTGAGTCACAGCTTATTGGCTGTACCGTTCAGATTTATCCGAATGACGTTAATCCAGTTCTTATTCTATTCTATGCTATTTTTATTCTACCTTATTCTATTTTAGTTCCTAAATGTTATGGCACCCAATACTAAGCGAGAGAGAAAGGGTATTTTGATTTCTGTATGTCCTGCACATCAGCATGTTAAAACCATCACTGTAAGCCTTCTGACATTATCATTCAAGTCAAAGCACTGCTGTGCTAGCCTTGCGAAAATCACAAAACTATGATGTCTGGCATTAATGTGGCCTTCCACCCGACTGACACATCTGACCCTACATAGAGTGGCATCAATCTCATGTGTCTGGGGATACTGCCTCCCTGCCAAAAGCTCTCAGAGACTGACCTACTTTCAAAAAGTCATTCAGGAAAGTCAGTCTGCAGAAACAGGACAATGATGTGAATAATTGTTCCAAAAGGTTTAAGAATCATACTGTAGATGCGGATTTTACATCACTGTTCTCAGACCCTTGCTGCCTACTCCCCGGGGGCAGTGTGGGGGTTACAGCATCTGATGACACAAGAGGTCATGTTTATGCAATTTAAGCTAGTTCACCATATGGCAGAGTGGAAAAGAGAGTAATCATAGTAAAGATGCCACAGTTGATGTAGATTTTATCATTCAGGAAAGTCAGTCTGCAGAAACAGGACAATGATGTGAATAATTGTTCCAAAAGGTTTAAGAATCATACTGTAGATGCGGATTTTACATCACTGTTCTCAGACCCTTGCTGCCTACTCCCCGGGGGCAGTGTGGGGGTTACAGCATCTGATGACACAAGAGGTCATGTTTATGCAATTTAAGCTAGTTCACCATATGGCAGAGTGGAAAAGAGAGTAATCATAGTAAAGATGCCACAGTTGATGTAGATTTTATTTTTATTGAATACGAGTAGATATTATGTAACAACAAGTGTGCGCTGATCAGCTGGCCCCCATCTTCACACTTATCTTCAACAGGTCACTGGAACTGTGTGAAGTCCCCTCCTGCTTCAAACGCTCCACCACCATCATTCCAGTCCCCAAGAAAACCTCCATCAGTGGACTGAACGACTACAGACCTGTCGCCCTGACATCTGTAGTTATGAAGTGCTTTGAAAGACTGGTGTTGGCCCACCCGAAGGACATCGTATACCCCCCGCTGGACCCCCTGTAGTTTGCCTACCGGGCAAACGGGTCAGTGGACGATGCAGTGAACATGGCACTGCATTACACCCTGCAACACCTCGACTCCCCAGGGACCTATGCACGGGCCCTCTTTGTGGCCTTCAGCTCGGCGTTCAACACCATCATCCCGGACATCCTGTAGAGCGACAGTTTCTGAAACCTTGCTTGCTCTACATACAGCACATATCGCATGCGCCCTAGCATGCATATTGTACATTGTACATCAATAAATATACATCCATACAAAATGTATAAACATGAAAACACACCCCCTGCTTATGCAATTCATGCACCACACATATGGCATAAAATAGATTTGGTGTGTGTAGCACTTACTATTCCCTGGGTGTGAATGCTGCTTGTGTGTGAGAATGGCCCCAGTCCCACTGCATTAAGGGCGGCCAAATGCACTGTGTACAATATGTATGGCTTGAGGGATGAGATAACTAGCAGCTCTACAAAAGCACACACACAAAAGACATGGCCTCAAGCACTGTGCATACAGTAATTTTGGCGGTATGATTTATGTCAGAATATAAATGATTCTCAAGCTGATTTTCTTTTGGAAGCATCTGGAATTCTACCTGAAGCTGGTACTGTGACCTCCTTCCACTGTTCTGCTGCACTTTGCCTCCACTGCAGGACAAAGCTTGTGATTGGTGTTCCTCCACTGATGGGCGGGGTTTTGAGGGAGAAGAGGACTGAGCTCAGGCCAGGTGAGACTGACAGGTCGTGAGGTGAACTGGGCCGGGCTGTGAGTGGAGAGGCAAGTAAAAACACATGTTACAGAATGGTAACAGTGGTAGCTACTTTTCCTTCACTTAACTTACTCTTCTGAAGTATAAAGATAGACATGAACTCTTACTGTGTACTGCAGCATCTCTTGATGCATTTCCACAAATGCTGACAGCCATTGCAGGAATACAGCCCACCATCAGAGGGCACTACCTCATCTATCAGCAGTCAGTCGCACCGTGAACAACACGGACTTGACCAGATGTGTTCTGACAGAGCAAATAAAATAATAATTATAGTAACTTGTCAAAAGAATTTTCAGAGAAACAACGAAGTCACTGGAATCTTTCAATAAGAGATTGGTTTACTTGCAGCAAGGAGACAAGTCAGCATAGGCATACAGAGTTGTCTGAATGAGCTTAGTCTAAACATCACATTATATAGGGCAAAGGGAACTCCTTAGAGACGCATCCCAGGCGGTAATCAGGTTGTAAAAAAGATTTGCGGAAGGAAAGTGAACTTGAGAGTGTTTTGCCCTGATGACCCCTAAGACACTGCACAATCTGTTGTCTGTTTATCTCCACAGTGTATGGTTTATGGCTGGCTCCTTTAAGTCGGGGATGCCATCTGGCTGAACATATTAAAGGCTTTAATCTATCATAAAGCCACGTTCGGTTCTTTCAAACCAGGAACTCAGAGGGACGACTCAGACCACTTGGATATATAAAAAATATAACCGTGCTGGTTTATTCAAAGAGTCACAGGCAA